CCGGGCCGGCCCCCCTCCCCTTCCGTAAGCGGGAGGAGGGCCACGCACCGTGCCCGGTGGCTCCGTCTCGGCTCAGCTCAATCAGCCGGCCTTTCTCTTTCTTGCCAAACAGGCGCCCGATGGACGATTTGATTCCTTTTCTCTTGGCGCCTTTGTGCAGGGAGTCCTGGCTGCTGCTGCTCAGGTTGCTTGTCTGCTCCTCCAAAGAGCTAGGAAAGGGGAAGGGAGAACCGGTAAAACCTTCCCATTGGTCGGTATTTGGAGCAGCACCATGCAGCAGCGCCCGGGACATTGAGCAGGGAAACCCAGAGGCCTCCCTGTAGTAAAAACTAAGTGTGCTTCTTCCCCTCCATTGCTTAAGCTCGAAACAGCAGGTATCATTTAGCTGATTGCGCATGTCTTAGAAGCTGCTAAACTTTCTGCCAGGGAACTGAGTAAACTTGCAGTGACCAACCACGTTGCGACACGCTGACCAGAAGGAATGTGAGATCTATAAAAGTTTCAGCTCAGGCGATGCTCAAGGTCGACCCTGCTTTGAGCACTGAGCTCCTCGGCCGAACTTGTTTGCAAACAATAAAATAGAGTTGGACCCAGCCTGAAAGTGTGACTCTCTTCTTGAGGCAAATTGAACTAGCCTCCAGGGGACGAAACTAGCAATTTATGCAACATCCCAGAGCCCAGACTGCCCCCAGGGAGCAGCCAACCCCCTTTGTGTTCACACCCCACACACTCCAGACCACATGCAGAGCTGGGCAGTGCCCCCGCGCTGGACGAGCAGCATGGCACTGCTGGGGGGGTGGGGGGATGCACACAGCACGGGACCCGGGGGCTGCCCTGGGGGAAGGCAAAGGGTCTTTGGTTCCCCTTGAGTCATGCCTAGCACTCGGCCACTGACCATGCGCCCACATCCTCGCAGTTCACCTCTGTTCTGGGCTAACTCTATGGAGGCGGTGGACTGACAGCCCTGCTCCCAGCCCCATAGGCCATGCACCGCAGCCCTAGCCAGGCAGAGCCCCGCCCACCTACGGCACCAGGTCTGGCGTTTAAAGCAGCCGGTGCCTTTATTACTCCCATCCCCCGAGCGCGAGGCGAGGCAAAGGGGCCGTCTGCTGCTCTATGTGGGACGTGCGAGCCCTCCTCTAGGGGACCCGGCCCTCTCTCGCCCCCATGGCTTGTGGGAGGGCTTCCCGGCTCCAGCACACGCCATGCACCGAGTCTCCGACCGCCCGCCAGGCCTCGCCGGGTACCTCTTGCCATCCTCCAGACTGAGCGCAGGGTGCCCCAGCTTCTCCAGCCGCAGCGTCCTGGGTGAGGAAGGGGGGGAAGTCTCACATTTTATGGTGGTTTTATCTTCTCGGTTCTCATCCCGAGCAGCTGGTGACTGGACAAACAGCGGAGCAGTGAGCGTCAATGGCAAAGATTCCTGCCTCCAGCGCTAGCCCACCACCACCCAGGGCCTTCCCAAGCGACGTGAGAACAAGCGTCTGTGGGTCTTATGCCCCGTACTGGTATCTTCTCACAGCCAGAGTCCCAGGCCAGCATGGAGCGATGCGGCCACACAGGCAGTGAAAGGGGGTGCCCCTTGGGGTCTCACCATGCTGGCTGGGATCAGCCGTCTCCCTACCTCCAAAGGAAACATGCCCAGGGCTCAGCAGGGAGTTAGGGGGTGGGCCAGATTTCGGGGTGTCGGCCCCACCTTTTCGCAGCTCCCCACGGGGCTCAGGCAGTACCTCGCGTTGGCACAGCCGCCTTCCCGGCCCTAATCCACAAGCGGTTTGGGCTCCCAACTTGCACTGAAATCAGTGAAGCCCAGATACCGGCTTGGTGCCTGTCCTCCCGGGGGAGTCAGGGTGTTGTGCGGGAGGGGAGCTCACGCCCTCCTTGACTGGCTGACCCACCCGCACAGCCCCTGGCCAGCGCTTGCGAAATTCTCCTGCAGCCGCTTCTAAGAGGCATTTGCAAGGACTCGGCCTTGCCCGCCCCATGTTCCCGGGGCACGTCAAGAGGAAAACGTGGCGTCCGGAGCCCCCCAGGCATGCCAGGAGCAGTGCCCTCCCTGGCTCAGTTTCCTGACATGACTGAGCCTGACACGAGTCACCTCACGTGCCAGGGCAGAGACACAAACACGCTTCCATGCCAAACACAAAAGATTCGGGTCTGGAGCAGAGAGCTGGCCGTGGTAATGGCTCATACGGGAGCCCCGGCTGGGCACACAGAGCGCAGGCGGCTGCAGCCTCCCAGAAGAAGCAGGCAGGGCTGAAACAGCAGCAGGGCTGTCCTGGGTGTGCGCTGCCACAGCAGGACAGGGCAGGCAGGCAGGGACGCTGCCGGGACGAATGCAGGAGCAGCCGCAGGGCCGTAGATGCCAGGGCTAGGAAAGAATTCCTGTGCCTTGCTCCCAATTCCCCGCCCCGGGGCAGGACTGTTCTCGGATGGGCTTTTTCCGTCTTCTCTCCAGTGACACTAGTCCTGGCTGGGGGCCTCACTTCCCTCAGCAAGACGATGCACTGTCCAGGTGTCCAAGTTGCCCAGCATGGCTGTCAGAGCTGCTGGCTGCGTGTCACATTACTGAATTTTAGGGAAGAAGCCAGATCACTGCTGCACCCATGGCAGGGGTGTTGGCCGCAAAAATGGCACAAAGGGGGCCGTGTGAGGTGTCAAACAGAAGCTTACTTTCTTCTGATTCTGCATATGCTATTCATGTGACTGTGTAATGTCTGTGTGTGGAGTTATAAGCATGGACTTTGTATGAGTACTGAATATTTCGCTGTCTGTGGTTGAGTAATGGGCCAGGAATGTTTGCCTATTGACATGCTAATGAGCAAAGCTCTGGAACAATAGCCCTCGATAGGCCAAGGACACACCTCGAGAATGGTGACTCATACCTAGGGGCTACCAGCAGGAGACACAGGGATAAGCCACGGACCAGGTGACCTGCTGCAGCCAAGAAGAGACCACCTGGCCACTGGCCATGTGACTCCCTCCAGCTTGGAAGAAGCCAGGAGGGGGTATAAATAGGCCATGTGGCCGACTCCATCTTGGTACTCAGATCTGCTCCTAACCGCAGATGCGGCCTCGCAGGGAATCACGAGCCAGGAAGAACTGTGGACCCATCCTGATCTAGGATGTGCAATACGGACCTTTAAGCCAGCAGCTGTCACATCTCTGCTGGAGCCGGTGTCGAGAACTGGGAGATTCGATGCATGGAATGTATGATTCTTTAACAATCTCACTCTCATGCTTTTCTTTCTTGCCGTAATAAACCTTTAGATGTTAGATGCTGAAGGATTGGCCCAGCGTGGTTTGTGGGTAAGGTCCGGAGGGTAAATTGACCAGGGATCTGTGGCTGGTTTCTTGGAACCAGACAGAACTTGTTCAGGGTAGGTGAGATTGGGTTCTAAAACCCCCCACCTGTTTATGAGGCCCGGGGCCATCTGGGGTTTTGCTCGTGAGACTTCAGGCAGGTGGGACCGGATGTGGCCTATTTGGGAAGGTCACCAGTCTGGGGGCTGTAAGGATCCCCAAAGTTGAGCAATTCGTCCTGAGTGGACGCCCTCAGCTGTGCCCAGACATGGCCCGGTCCGTCACACTGCTCCTCGGCACTCTCTGTAACTAACACCTTCCCGTCTCGTGGCGAACCGCCCCCCCTCCGTGGGTCCCCATGCCCTGAGCCATGCGTGGCCTCCTCGGCCAGGCTCTCCCCACAAGTCAGGCCTGCTCTGGCTCTTCCCAGGCCAGATCTGGTGGCTTGATGGGCCGAACTGCGCCCACTCCTGCTCTACACAGAGCCAGGGGATTTGCAGCACGCGGGGTCCAGCAGTTATGTCCGTGCACAGTAGCCAGGTGTCTGTCCAGAGAGCAGGACGGGGTGGCACAGCAAGCACAGGCTAGAAGTGGCAGGGCAGCGCGATTCTGCACAGCATGTAGACAGAGGAAGCTCTGCCTTAGAATCATAGAACCATAGAGCTGGAAGAGGCCTCAGGAGGTATCAAGTCCAGCCCCCTGCTCTAGGCAGGACCAATCCCAACTAAATCAACCCGGCCAGGGCTTTGTCAAGCTCGCCTGGGCCTCGCCTCTGCCGGCCACGCTCCTGCTGTTCCTCGGGGCAGGGGGCCTTGTCCCTAGGGGTGTGTGTTCTCTGCAGATCACGGGCACACTGAGCTAGCTTTGGTCGAGCCAGCCCTGGTACAGGAGCAGCAGCCTGGGCTAGCCCGTGGGTTCCAGGCAGGCCCCTGGCTCTCGCACGCTCAGAGTTCCCCCGAGCTGCCTGCACCCAGATCTAGTGCCCTCGTCCTCCACGCTGCCCTCTGGGGAACCTGCGGGGCAGCTGGCAGCACAAGGCCCATCAGCAAAGCCAGCGAGGGAGGGTCTGAGACAAGCAGGTGCCCCGGTCCATGTACGAGGGGAACTCGAACACAGCGCCAGCCTGGGCCGTACACGCTGTTTTGTGCACAGCAGCAGAGCTGTTAGCGGAGTACCCGCACTGCTGTGCTTTGCCCCGCAAGCCCTACCCGAGGGATGCGCTGGGAAGGGCGGGTCATCGCCACACTGCTATGTTTGACCACAGCCTGGAGCTGGCTCTACGCCTGCAGCGCCCAGCCACGTCCCACACACGCCAGCCGGCTCCTGAGGGGAGTCCCTGCGACCGAAGAGCTGCTGCTCGTTATGCCAGCTGCCAGCCTTCCAGGACTGGCCGGGAGTCCCCAGGTGCCGATGGAGAGCGATCCGGGAGATGGTCATCCGTGGTTTTCAGACCATGCCATGACGTCATGTTGGAAGGGCATCACCGGGAACAGCTTCCAGGAGAGTTGGCAGCCCTGTCCCAGACCAGCCAAGCACACAGACCCCCCCAACTCAGCAGGACTGGGTGTGGCTGCAAGTGAGCCCAGGGAGACGGTCTGTCACGTTACTGGATTTTAAAGGGAGCAGCCAGATCACTGCTGCGCCCACGGGGGGTGTTTGCCCCAAAGTCTGTACAAAGGGGGCCGTGTGAGGTGTCAAATGAACGCTTATACTCTACTGATTCCATGTGTGATACTCATGTACTTCTATGATGTTTGTATGTGAAGTTATGAATACGGGCTCTGTTCTTGTCCTGGGAATGTTCTCGTCTGGGAATGTTCTCTCTTGTGAGGAAGGATTGCTCAGTGAATGGCTGCGCTCACTAGCACGGCTGATGGACAACCACTCTCGGAGTGGCCAATACACCCCTTAGGAATGCGTCTGGAAACTGCAGACGGGCCAGTGCTTAATGGCTACTGGCATGTGAACAGAGACAAGTCACTTGAGCATGTAACCAGCTCCCGTTTGGGAGACACCATATAAAGGTGCCATGAGCCGGTCTCCATTTTGTCTTCAATCGTGCTACTGATCCCAGATGCAGCCTTGCAAGGGACAGGGAGCCGGGAAGGATTGCTGACCCATCCTGACATAGGATGTACTCCCGAGACTTCTAAGCTAGCAGTTCGTATTCTCCTTAACAATCTCACTCTCAACCTTTTCTTTCTTTTATTAATACACCTTGGCTACGTCTACACTGGCATGATTTTCCGAAAATGCTTTCACGGAAAAGTTTTCCGTTAAAAGCATTTTCGGAAAAATCGCGTCTAGATTGGCAGGATGCTTTTCTGCAAAAAAGCTTTTTGCAGAAAAGCGTCCGTGGCCAATCTAGACGCGGTTTTCCGCAAAAAAGCCCCGATTGCCATTTTCGCGATCAGGGCTTTTTTGCAAAAAACAGTACTGTGCTGTCTACACTGGCCCTTTTGCACAAAAGTCTTTCGGAAAAAGACTTTTGCCCGAACGGGAGCAGCATAGTATTTCCGGAAAAGCACTGATGATTTTACATTAGATCGTCAGTGCTTTTCCGGAAATTCAAGCAGCCAGTGTAGACAGCTGGCAAGTTTTTCCGAAAAATCACATGATTTTGCGGAAAAACTGGCCAGTTTAGACACAGCCCTTTAGATTTTAGATTCTAAAGGATTGGCCCAGCGTGCTCTTGTGGATGAGATCTAAAGTATAAATTGACCGGGGACTGTGGCTGGTTCTTTGGGATCGGGAGAACCCGTTCAGAGTAGGTGGGATTGGGGTCTAGAACCCCTCACCTGTGATGAGATCTAAAGTATAAATTGACCGGGGACTGTGGCTGGTTCTTTGGGATCGGGAGAACCCGTTCAGAGTAGGTGGGATTGGGGTCTAGAACCCCTCACCTGTGTTAGGCCTGTGGCTGATTATGGCACAGGGAGAGCTGGGGGGCCTGAGGGGTTTTGCTCGTGAGGCTTCCTGGAGGGGTTTTGCTCATGAGGTTCCTGCTGGCCGGATTGGCAGCTGAAGTGCTCGGTGTGACTGGTGTGTGGCCTGTGTGGGAAGGTCTCCAGTCGGGGGCTGTAAGCAGCCCTGGTTTTGAGCAATTCGCCCTGAGCGGACGCCCTGAGCAGTGCCCAGACCTGGCCCGGTCCGTCACAGAGCCTGGGGAGACGGCCCCGGGGAGACAGCCCACTCCTCGGTGTAGCACGAGAGCTGCACGCGCGTGGTGAAAATTGGTGCAGAAACCTATCTGAGGCCAGTTGCCACCAGTCTTGGGAGGGCCTGAGACACAACCCAGACCCCCTGCGGGGATTTCTGCTGGGAAAGCGGGAAGGCCTGGGACTCATGCACCTTCCCCCTCTTCCTGCCCTGTCTCTGTGCGTGATGAGCGACACGGCCCTCTGCTCACCTCCCAGGCAGCCCCTGCCCCCTTTCTCCCCACACACCTGGGCTGCCCACAGGAGACTACGTTTCTGTGCCGCAGCGGCATGCGGCGTGAAAGGGGAAGCGCGATCGGAGCTGCAGGGAAGCCGCGCTGCTGTCCCGTCGGACGTGCCTGAGAACAGCCGCGTGTCCCTCAGACCGGCCCTGGCCCCGGCCTGACGGGCTTTGGGCCGTTCCGTCAGCTGCTGCGGGCTGGAACCCCTGGGGAGGTGGAGAGGGGGCAGGAGCTGGACCCTGCAGCAGCACCCAGGCCTCCCCGCCAGGGTCAGAGCCCGTTGCGCCAGATGCTGCATGGACACGGTTCTCCCCCAGACCGCTCACAGGCCAAGCCTCCTTCAGCAGCCGAGCTCTCGCTCCTCGGGGTACGACAGCACAGGAGCCTGGAGCACTTCAACAAGTCTACGGGCACGGCAGCGGGGCCCGGGCCAGGGACCGGAGAGCAAGGCAAAGAGCAGGGGGACTGGCCAGTCACTCACCAGCAGTTTCCTCCGGTGCTTCCGCAAGTCACTGGGCTGGCGGCAAGAGGAAAACAGAAAGGGACAAAGAGGAGAGTTAGCTGAGAGGTCCCAAGCGGCAAGCCAGAGCCACAGAGAGCTGGCGGCTGCAGAGCGCTCACCCCACACAGCCGCCCCATGCCCAGCTTCCCTAGGGCCGCGCATCAACGCAGGGCAAGGCAACAAACCTACTTTTCAACCCGCGCAGCCCTGTCCTCATACCCACCCATCCAGCTCATACACCCCCATACACCCTCCCGTCCACACACAGCTCACACGCCCACCCGGCTCCTACACCCCCATACACCCTCCCGTCCACACACAGCTCACACGCCCACCCGGCTCCTACACCCCCATACACCCTCCCGTCCACACACAGCTCACACGCCCACCCGGCTCCTACACCCCCATACACCCTCCCGTCCACACACAGCTCACACGCCCACCCGGCTCCTACACCCCCATACACCCTCCCGTCCACACACAGCTCACACGCCCACCCGGCTCCTACACCCCCATACACCCTCCCGTCCACACACAGCTCACACGCCCACCCGGCTCCTACACCCCCATACACCCTCCCGTCCACACACAGCTCACACGCCCACCCGGCTCCTACACCCCCATACACCCTCCCGTCCACACACAGCTCACACGCCCACCCGGCTCCTACACCCTCCATACACCGCCTCATCCACACACGGCTCACACACACACCCAGCTCCTACACCCTCCGTACAACCCCTCATCCCCACACAGCTCACACATCCACACCCTGCCTTGCATACCCACACCCTCCTCCACACCCCTGCCTGGTTCTACACATAACTCCACTCACCCACCCACCACCTGCCTGCACCCCCCCCCGGG